AAAGAAGGAAAGGAAAAAGGAAAGAAGAAATGAAAGGAAAAGAGAAAGGAAAAAGAAAAGGGAAAGGAAAGGAAGATAGAAGGACAGAAGGAAAAGGAAGGGGTGGAAATGATTGGTACTGCTCAAAAATCAAGTCTCAAGATCCCGTGGACCCCTTTGGCTCAGGCAGTCCAATTCCATGCTGGTTCCCTCTCTCCCTGAAGCGAAGGGATCGCAGAAAGAGTGCCCAGTCCAGAACGGGGCTTCAGGCGACGCAATGCCTGAGAAAACCCAGATGTGCAGAGAAACGCAGGCTACAACCAGCGAATCACGTTTTCCCAGGAACCGACAAAGCCCCATAGAACCAATGGAATTCTCCCTTTTGCAGCTTCATCGGTCTCCAGGCAGAGTCTTCCTTGATTTCACCAATCACCAGATTAAGGCGAGAGTTTGGTGCAGAGAGAGAAGGGAGTGAGGGGGGATATTTTCAGTCACATTTAAAGAAACACTGCGCTGCAGTTTGAAACTTATGCGCGATGTTTTCTTGTTATGTGTGCGGCCGCGCAGGTGCGCAGCTTAGAGGGAACATTGCCCCCCCATATGCCATGTCTTAGTCCTGGCCACCAAAAGATTGTTCCTCCCTGTTCTTGATTTTCGCTGAAATCAGAATGGGTGCACCCACATATTTTTTTTCCTGATTCCTTTTTATGAAAACTCCGCACTCAACAAAATAATAGTTTGTAAATTAAGCAGAACAGATTTTTCCAGCATCTATTGCTTCATTGTCTTTTTAATAATTGTAGGCTAGTCAGGTAATATTCTCAAAGTCCCTCGCAATAAAATAACAAACACAGATGGCAGTAAGGCAAGCCAAAGTAGGCAATGAGGCAATCAAACAGAGGCAGTTTTAGAATACTCTTAGAACTTGTCTACCCAATTGGGATTGTAGACACGTTCGCCTTACTGAAAGATGAAAACGATGGAGTGTGTATCCAACACATCTGCCAAACATTGGAGAAGTGGATACTCGAATACACATTAAAGGCATGGAGACTAAAACATATGAAGATCGGCTGCAGGATTTGGGTTTGGCTAGTCTAGAGAAAAGAAGGTCTAGGTGTGACATGATAGCAGTATTCCAGTATTTGAGGGACTGCCACAAAGAAGATGGGTCAACTTGTTTACCAAAGCATCTATAGGCAGGACAAGAAACAATGGATGGAAACTAATCAAGGAGAGAATCAACCAGGAACTAAGGAGAAACTCCCTAACAGTGAGGATAATTAGCCAGTGGAACAGCTTGCCTTCAGAAGTTGTAGGTGCTTCATCACTGGAGGTTTTTAAGAAGAAACTGGACAGTCACTTGTCTGAAATGGTATAGGGAGGTTGGACTAGAAGACCTTCAAAGTTCCTTCCAGCTCTATTCTGATTTTCTTAGAAGAAAAAACTTATTTATTTGTATAGGTAATTCTCCAAACATTCATTTAGTGACAAGCAAAGTCAATGAGGTTAGCTGAATTCAATTAACAACTACATGATTCACTTAATATCCCTGGCAAAAAAGGTCATAAAATCAGGCATGACTCACTTAACAACTGCCTTGCTTAGCAAAAGAAATTCTGGTCTCAATTGTGGAAGTAAGTTGAGAACCACCTGTATATTTTTTTTAGACGTTGATGTTCATTTCTAGCCAAAAGCTCAGGGTCTCTTCAATTTAATCTCATAGTTGGTTTTTAAAAATAGGAGTTTTCTGAATAGGTCATAGATTTGTTTATGCTAACCAACCTTTAGAAGTGCTTATTTTTCAGTTCTTTCTACTGAACCAGTTGAGTACTACGCTGTTCTGAATATTAATTCTGAACATCTTCAGTAAGTTTCCCATAAAAAGTAAGGCTCCGATTTGTTGCAATTGTTTTCCATCGGAGAAAATGCAACTCCTATTTTGTCTAGCTTTGGAAAAATTATACAACAACAGTTTTGATTTGCTCATATTAAATAAAAAAATATTTATTTTAAAGTAAAAGAATACATAATTTACATAGTACCTTTTTTCCCACAGTGAAGAATTCCCAGGACTGAGCTTGGTAGGTGGGGAGATTTTGGTAAGGCACAAATTTTTCATCAATCCATTTGTAAATGGCTGATCCAGGAGGAGTGAAGCGATTAGCAGTAGCTACAAAAAGACCCACCATAGGGATGACAAATATCTCAATGCCCAAGGTTTCAGAATTTGTAGCTAATCTCTGGTATTCTTCCAAATAATCCAGTCTTTCTTCAACTAAAATGTGACAGAGAATAAGGAAATCTATCGTCACTATCAAGGCAATGCTATAGAGATGGTGATCCAGCAGAATAACTATTCCTGATATTTTCCCTCTCTTATTCTTCTTCTACTGTGCCTACAGTATATATGTATCTTGGCCTTTAATTCTCTTTCAAACTCATTCACTTATCCTGTCTTATCTTATTCAAACTTACTTGGTTATTACCTTTAAAGCCCTACATGGCTTAGGACCAGCCTATCTGCGAGACCGCCTACTGCCACATACCTCCCAACGGCCAATAAGATCCCACAGGGTGGGCCTCCTTCGGATGCTGTCAGCCAGACAGTGTCGGCTGGCGGGCCCCCGGAGGAGAGCCTTCTCTATGGCTGCTCTGACCCTGTGGAATCAGCTACCCTCAGAGGTCCGGACCTTACCCACTCTCACGGCCTTCAGAAAAGCCATTAAAACCTGGCTGTTCCGGCAGGCCTGGGGCTGTTGACCTTATTGTTAAGGTCCAGCCCCGATTAGAACATATGAGTGTTGTGAATTTTAAACTATTCTTTTATTTTGCTTTTCTTTTTTTCTTCTTTCGCTGTAAGCCGCCTGGAGTCCTCTGGGATTGGGCGGCCTATAAATTTAATTAATAATAATAATAATAATAATAATAATAATAATAATAATAATAATAATAATACTCTTTGCAAAGAAGCTGATGAAACTGTTGATCACATACTCAGCTGCTGTAAAAAATCACGCAGACTGATTATAAGTTGCAGCACAATTCAGTAGCACAAATGATCCATTGGAATTTGTGCAAAAATTATAATATTGAAACAGCAACAAACTGGTGGGAACATCAGCCTGAAAAAGTCACCGAGAATCAGATTGGCAAGATCTTGTGGGATTTCCGTATGCAAACGGACAAAATACTGGCGCATAATACATGAGACATCACACTGGTTGAGAAAAATAAGGTCACAATCATAGACATCGCAATACCAGGTGATAGCAGGGTCGCCGAGAAGGAACATGAAAAAATCGCAAGATATCAGGACTTAAAAATCGAAATTCAACGACTATGGCACAAACCAGCAGTGGTAATTCCAGTGGTAATTGGCACACTGGGTGCTATTCCAAAAGCACTGGAATTACATTTAAAACAGTTAAAAATTGACAAAATCACCATCAGTCAAATGCAAAAAGCTGCACTGCTTGGATCTGCACGCATATTATGAAAATATGTTACGACGTCCTAGGCCCTGGGGGGCCCCCGACTAGTAACCAATGCCAAATCCGGCAAAACAACTGGCCACTGTGATACAATTGTGTAATAATAATACTCAATCAAAATAAATATTTTGAACCATTCTACTCGCAGGTTCTTGCCCATTGTATAAATCTTATTGAAACTAGTTATGTTCCTCCTTGGCAAATGTATTTTCAGCAGAATTTCTTATTTCTTATTAATGCAATTTCTAAGCAGTTTAATTCAATTGGGGGGGATTCTATTTTTCTATTTTACTCAGGGTGCAGGATAATTTCATTTCAATTTTCTCCATGTTGCTTACTGTTGGAATTGGAAATGTTAGTTTACATAATATAGCAGACAAGGGAATTCAGTTTTAGGATTTCAAGGAAAATATTTACAGTCCATAAACTGGTATTATTAAAAGTTCAAAGCATCCATAGGTGAACAATATCCAAAAAGCATTTCACCTTCTAGCATGGAAATCCATTCATTCCCGGTGCAGAGATGTAGTCCCTTCTGAACAATGTTTAACCAGAATTGGCCACTTTCAGTCTTGGTGCAAGGAGGGCGGGAACCCAAAGTCAGCTTCATGTCTGCTTCTGAATACCAAAAAAAATCAAATGTGATCCGATCAAAAAAATTTCTGATTTTGTAAGAAATGTTATCATAGTGTAGGTCTACCTACTACATACCATAAAACCAGAATATATCACAATATTGTTCACATTTAAATAGAAATATATTTTTCAGAGAACACTTGCTGTATTTCTACAAACAAATAAAATAACTCCAAATGCTCTGGAGATATATTTTAAAAAATTAAAATTAAATTTTATTCCCTTTTTATGGATCATCTGCATATTGGGCCAAACCTAGACTTGGCAATGTTTAGATAAGTATAAGTATAATCTTTATTGTCATTGTACTTAAATACAACGAAATTGGTTAGATAGACCTATTGATTTTAGAATATTTACTGGTACAGGTAACACAACATGTTTTTCTACTAACTACTACTACTACTACTACTACTAACTAACTAACTAACAACTACTAACCATTATTAAGAATCTATACAGATCTAAGATAATGGTTTTTTTCCCCTCCTGCTTTATTTGCTGCTGGCAATTATATTCCCTGATTTAACCAGTTACTTTAACTATTCTAGTTGTTCTAATAAATATCTACTTCAATAACACATATCTTTTGGTCTTCTGAGCTTTAGTAAGCAAAAAATAGTTTAACATTCAATTGTATATTTTTTTAAAAAAATAACAGAGAGAGGGGGGATGGAGAGGGAGAAAGAGGGGGAAAGAGTGCATATAGATTTCCCCACCAGAAGATGGAGGTTTCAAATTCTCCAAAGTGATAACTAATCTAATTCTTTCTGATGTATATATGTTAAAATAACTGATTTTGAGAATATTTGGATGACCTACCATTCATAATTCTACAATTCCCTTGGAACTAATGATGTTAATAAACGTTGTACTAAGTATAGTTTTTAAAGTCATGTTCTCTCAACATATAGAACTGCTAATCAATCAAACATAAGCTAACCTAAAATACTGTTTAAACTCAAGCTATATCCTACACAGCCAGAAAAGAAATTGCAGTCAACCATGTATATTATATCATAAACACAACCGATATGAATCTGGGTTTTAGTTCATTGATCCTCTTCTTTCTTCTATCCAGTCCTATTAAATTCATTCAGCATACTCCTATTTCAACAGGTGCTCTTCTAACGAAACCCCCACTCATTCTGACTTCCCAGATACAATTTTTGTGAACTAGTTTCTAGATGGGAATAGTTCCATATAGAAAAACAAATTGCACACTGTCATGTGGAATTGGCCTGCTTGTTTTGCTGCAATTACAAGGTTGGAGAAGCAGCACTGGCTTCCAAACCCAGGTTCTTGAAGCAAAATAAATACATCCATTTCACACATAATGATGTATTGATCTTCCCTTGCTTGGAAATTATCTCCATAATGAAAAAACAACATGTGCAAAATAGGCCTAGAATGTTAATTTTCAGTTTTCCAGCATTGCTTATGATTGCCAGTCCTCATGATAACAAGGCTGAACAAAAAACTAAGAGAAATTGTCTTAAATCAGAGATGCCAAGAAAAACAATAGCTGATGTTCTTAGCAATTATGATAAGGCATATAATTCTTTTGTTTCCTTTCTGGTTTCTGGCTTTCAACAAATACTCATTCAGATTTCCTTGCAACTATATACCTTTATGCGCACATACAGAGAATCCTCGTCTCATTATCCGATGTGCTTTAATGTTAATGTTTTATAAGCAATAGCAGCTAGTCTTCCTGGACAGTTATGTTTTGGGAGTGCAGTTCAACACATTGGATGTTATCCTAAGAACTCCCACAGGTACTCTTCTGATTCTCAAAGCACTTATTTGCTACATGAAATGAAGGGAGAAGGTGATCTGAGGATATAAATTTCTGATCTTAAGTGAATAATGGTCCTTCCACAAATCCTGCAATGCAGTCAATTTTCTGAAGTTCAGTTCAGGCTATATGGCACTGCAGATGGGAGGGATAGAAGGAATGAAAGGAAGAAACCATCTAGATCAGAGATGGGGAATATTTCTCAATTTAAGTCAGCCATGGATTTCATGAATTTATGTGTCAGTAGGACCAGGGCATCTGTTTTAGGCTGGCATATGACATTGCAGGAAATACACAGGCTTTGTTCATAAAACATTAAACCTTATTGTGGTTTGCTGGTTTTGACTTCATATAGGCTTTGGCTTAACAGACTATTTGAACTCAGTCAGTTCTGAATTACTGTGGTTGAACAATCCATGTCTTAGTACACTAAATAACTTAAGCCTCTACCTGGAAATACTCTGGATCCCCCACTTTCACCTGTAATAGCTATGAGTTATTATGTATTTTTTACCACCCATAATTTTTCTCACAGTTCTGGGGAAAAGAGATTTAGGCACTGTGATAAAAGTAAAGCTGTGCTCAAGCCAAACTGAACACCTGAATGTTAATGTGGTGTAGTTTCCTTGGCAAAAAATGCAAAAGTGGTTTACCATTGCCTTTGCCTTTTTCTTGCTTACGCCAGGGGATTCTCGCAGTGGTGGCCCATGCAAGTACTAGCCAAGTATTGGCTCTTTTTAAATTTTTAAACATCATACCTGCTATTGAATACCTGCTATTAATATCTGTGCTGTACTTTCCGTAAGGATGACGTAGATTGTCAGCTGATTTAGAATGCAACAGTGATTTTAGTGGAGCTTTACTCCAGATATTAACCAACTTCTATCACTAATAAAAACCTTCGCTCTTTCCCGACAACTTGGTATAATTACATTGTTATTCTTGTACTTTGTAATTTTAAATACAAGCTGGAGAACAAACCACCTGAAAATTGTGTTTTATTTTACTAACCGTAAGGGTATTTCAGAAGCTCATTGCCCTCAGGTTTCACAGGCAGATCCTGCAGAATTTGGGGGATGGACAGCACTGCTAGATTAATATTCATGCCAGTGCACATCCTTGAAGTGGCATCAGAGCCTGGCAAGAGGACTAGCTGCCTTATCAAGCCCTGAAAAGAGAGGAAGAAAAACTATGGAATCAAATATCAAAAGCTCTTCTGGGGACAATAGTCGATGATTTTCCACAGAGGATAAGGAGGATAGAGTTTACATCAGCCTAGAAGTTACACCGCTGACCTTAAAGTCCAATCCCTATTTCCACACGTGTTAGACCATAAGAGAAAAATATTTTTGATGCATTAAGAGGCACTATCTTTCTATTGCTTCATGTGCTTGGAAACAGAGATCAGCTTCTCAAAACAAAATTCAAGGCTGGGCCAGAAAGCTGCATTGCTAAGTCTTTTATAAAAATCACATTGTATGTTTGCATTAGCCTTTGTTTGGGGCTGAGATCAAAGGACTTGCTTCTTGTCATTATGAGCAATGGGTCACCTACCAGCAATGCCCCTCTGGATACCACGTAGGACAAACAAACCAGACTTTGGACAAAAGAATTAATGGAAAGAAAACATCAGGATTCAAAATAAGGACAAAGAAATAACAGAACAAAACAAGTTAAGGAAGATGCAACTTCCATAACCTCCAAACATTCTATTACCAATCTCAGAATAGCCATTTGGATATAAATAAATTACTGCAGCATAATTGAGCAAGAGACAAAGGAGCTTAAATATATAAACAGGTTTTAGGTTATCTAAGAATGTCTGAACAAACACAGTGGCTTTAACATATTACCACTGTTAGTTGCTAAGGCAATTTTAATCTGTCTCTCATCTGCATAATCATGCTTTTCCCCTTCAATTTTCCCCAATGGGCCCAATATATTTTATTTTGATTAAGCCCGTCCATGCATCTGATGATGTGAGCTGCAGTTCACAAAAGCTTATACTTTACTGTATAATAACATGTGTTAGTCTCAAAGGCTGCTATAGACCTTTCAGGTTTATAGGTAATAGATAAACCAATAGATAATATAAGGGTGATAATTATTATCCTTTGAGGCTTAACTCAGAAACCACTGAGAGACTTATCCTGAACTAACATTGTATTAGCAAAACAGCACTTTCAGGGTTACATATCTATTCTGATACAGAATTGCTTGAACTGCTAACTGATTTCCCGCATTAGCTGAAGGCAGATGTTTTGGTCTCTTCCAACTAAATAATCCAGTATAAATTAAATTAACAAAAAGGTTTAGCTTCAGGGTCCCTGCCTCTTCAAGTAGAATCCAGAGCACCCTAACAATAGGTCAGATATGATGCTGGCTGCCCCCCATCAATTGTATACCCCTAGTCAGGAGTGATAGTTAAGAACCATAATGGTGCATTGGTTAGAATGCAGTATTTCTAGCTAATTCTACTGACTGACTGATTGTCACGCTCAAGGTTGACTCAACCTTCCATTCTTCCGAGGTCGGTAAAATGAGGACCCAGATTGTTGTGGGCAATATGCTGATTCCATAAACCACTCTTAGAGAGCTGTGAAGCACTGTGAAGCAGTACATAAGTCTAAATGCTATTACTTTAAGATTTTTGTTCATCTGGAAAATTATCAAAGAATTTACCGATATATAACCTGAACCATTTTAATATTTTTCTCTCAATAGAATTCTGTCAAAATTTTAGTCTCTTAGGTCTAATTTTGTAATTCTCTGTGGACTAGTGCTATGTTTCCGGCTGAAACATCCAGCAAATTCTGGCCTTGCTGTAATATTTTCTTCCAATCACTTCTAGTGATCACAAGTCAACGGACATAGTGAATCTATTTGCATATTCTCAGTATATTCAAGTTTGAGATGGCTTTTTGAAATCACAGCCTGAATTAATTTTTTCATTTAACAGGGCAAGATAAAAACAGTATAAATCACTTCAGTTACTTTTTTTTCACATTCTGTTCATTCTACCCATTTTTACAGAAGTTTTATCTGATAACTATAGAGAACATTTCAATTAAAATGGTTTAAAAAGGAAATAAATGACCATTGAGCTAAACTGCAAAGCATTAGGAAGAAAAGGGGATTTTTTCAACAAGGAATTATTTGAAAAAAACAATATGGTTTTCTAAATGCAGAGGAATTTGGTTGTTTACAAAGTTGTTTTCTTCTGCTGTAGAATTTAATACAGACACTACTACAATATCCAATTTAGACTCCCGTAACAAGAAAAATCCAGTCCACTGCAGGATAATTTGCATCTTTAAAAATAAATTGGCTGCTGAAATAAATAAATAAAAATTGAATGAAAACAGAAGGGTATCTCCTTCCCCAATTGTGCATACACTTAGAGACCCCTGTTCCTTAATTTTTACCTTTCATCCACCCATTTGAATTCTCTCCCTCCCTCCCTCTCTCTCCCCGCCCCATGACAAATGGCTAGTCCTTGCCTCTTTCTCAGGGCTGAGAGAGAGTGACTGGCTCAAGGCTCATTCCTAAGGCAGGAGAAGAACTCAAAAACTCCCTGGCTTTTAACCACCATACCAGTGATGGTGAATGCGCTTATCTGGGGCACGCATGCTTGTCTGGGATACACATGCTCGTCTGGGGCACACACGCTCATCTGGGACACAATCCTGAAGAGGAGCTGCCCAGGGGGCAGGCACACACCAGGAAATTAACTTCTTCTTTTTTTTTTTTATTATTTTTTTTGTGTGCTTTTTTTTTTTTTTTTTTTATTTTTTTTTTGGGCTTTTTTTTTTTTTTTTTTTATTTATTTTTT